CTGTGGGAAGGGCTGCCTGTTAGGCGACGGCAGCCACCGAGAGCACTTGCCCTCCCAGCCCGTGGGCGCGCTCTGTCACTAACATTAAGTGCTGGCAGGGAACACCGTCACGTATTTCCTTTCATCCTGTCTCCCTTAGAGTGAAAACGCCAGTGAGGAGGCTGGTGAGGGTGAATACGTCAATCTGTATTCCTCTGGCCAGAGCAACGGGGAACTCCCTCGCTCTGAAGGAGTAAGTAACCTGGAGAGGGCCGGACACCGGGAAGGGGCTGCCGAGTGCATGCTGAGTTCACGCCGGGGCAGACGCACTTGGCACCGGGCTCTGCTGCACACCGCGGAGCTCCCGTGTCCGTCCTCCTGCCCCAGCTCCCTTGCCGGCAGTCCCTCCGCTTGCCCACTCTTGGCTTGCAGGCTTGGGTGGCTTCCCAGTCCGGGTGGAGAGCTTTTGGGGTGACGGCGAGCCCCGGCAGGAGGAAGGGATGGCTTTTCCTGCCGCGCTTTCGTTTGTGCTTGGCTGACTGTTTGGAGCTGCTTGCCTGAGGTTCCCTCCCAGAAAGCTGCACCCTGACCAGCACCTTCCCGGGCCTGTCTATTCTTGTAGCTGCTTTGGCTTCCCGATTTTAATACAGAAAGCCTTGTGCTCTCATTTATTTTTTCTCCCTTCACCTTTGGGGTACAAAGTGGTTGATTGATTGATTTAGCATTGTCATCGCACGCTGCTTCTTCCTTTACTCGAGCCTCATATCTTAGATATTTCCTAGAGGAGACAGGATGTTTTCCATTCCAGGGAGGTACTGTCTTCCTGTTGTGTCATAGGAAACGGCGGCAGAGGTCTGTGACGATCTTCTTGCCTGCCCTCGTCTTGAAAGGCACATCTCCAGGATGTCTCCGAGACCCTTATCCACGCTGGTGTTAAATATGCCGAGAGATAGCGCTCCCATTGCTTCCCTTCAGGAGACATATCTAGGCAGGCCCATCCTTTTGGGCAGCTGCGAGCTGTTTCTTGACTTTGAAGCCAAGGGCTTTACAGATAGAGTCTGGAAAAACTCTTCAGACCCCAGGAAACCTCAGCTCACCAGCGTGTGCTCCAGGCTGAATGGAGAGCCTGTGACAGGGTGGCTTCAGCCCTGGCTCTTCCGTAGGTTGAATTTCCAGGTTTCAGTCTGCATGATGTCAAATAATTCTGAAACCCAGCACTGTTGGATTAATGTTCCCGTTTGTTGTTGATAGGTATTTTTCTCCTTCATAAATGGCTAATTTAAAATGCTGCATCTTTGCTTTGAGCTCTCTACCTGCTCTTCCATGCTGCGGGTTCAGACGGTTCTGCTTTTTTGCGTTAGCCTCACGTCCACAGCCGTGGATTGTGCCGTGGAAACGTTGTGGCGTTGCATAAGCTCTTCTGATGGGAAAGAAGGGAGGTCGGAACGGCAGTGTGCACCCACCCCGAGACAGGCGGGTGTTCGGGGGCCGTGACCAGGAGGGGAACTGAAACCGGAGAGCTTAGAGCTGGCTGTGTCCGTTTTGATCAAAGCAGAAGGCAAGGGTATTTCAACAGGAAGGGCTGGAGGGGGGAGAAAAAGTCGTGAGGGGGTTAAAATCCAAGTCAGCAGCTGACTTGTGTTGTAACTTTCAGCATCATTTCACAATGTTAAAAGCAAACAGTACTAATTACACTAGTCTCCAGAGATGGTCCCAAATTTCCTGTCTAATTAACTTCTGTGTTTTCCTGGCATTTGGCATTAACTTGCATCAATCTTTAACCACTCTGTAGGAATTTACAGTAAAGGGCCATTGGGAGGCAGTCAGACTGTAAATGCAAGGCTGGCTGAGCTGTAGGACCCCACATAATCACGGAAACCTTTCTCTTTGCAGGAATCTCCCTCTCTCAAAGACAGCCACTCCAAAGACTCCGCTTCGAACAGCAGCTCCATGGGGAAGGAGGGCCAAGAGGGCGCTGAAAGGTGAGCCAGACTCCCCTGGTCCTGCTTCCCAGCCTCCAAGGGAAGAGCCTCAGCAACATTAGCCCTGCCCTCGACCAGCATCCTTGGGGCTGCCTGCTCTGCCTTCCACCTGCTCGGTGCTCACGAAAAGCGCCACTTTGGGGGCAGCTGCTGAGCCTTCAGCTCCTGAAAACAAGGTGTCCTTACCTAACTGGGCGAGTTTGTGGGGGTTAATGCAGCCCGTGTTAGCCATCCTGAGGCCATCGAATTGCAGTCCTGTCGCTGGCTCTGGCTGCTCCCTCCTGCCTCCGGGGAAACGTGCAGAAAAGTCTGTATTGCTATTGGGAAATAGTCTTCCAGGGGGGAATTTCTTCCTAACCCTGCTAGTTACAGGCTGGCTGAGGCCCCAGAGCAGGAGGCTTTATCTCCCTTCTAATACTCTTAGCTATCATTTGTCTATGTAAATGAAGAGGTGCAGGCTGTAACAGATGGGCTTCAGGAGGAGCAGAGTGAGTGCTTCCCTGCTGCTTGAGATTGCTCTTCAATTGCATTTCTAAAGCAAAAGCAGAGAACAGCACTGTTTGGGGTGTGACAGCCAACTTCCCTCCCCCACTTTCCTGCAGCTGGTTTGAGGGGTTTAATCCCTGCAGCAAAGGAGACAAGGCAAGAGAGCTCTGCAAAGCACTGTCTGCTGAACACACGGGCTGGGGCACGGGATTTTGGCCTGGGCCTAGGGAGAGCTGTAAAGAACACACGTATCTTTGGGGATTTTTTGGAATACAGGCACAGAGAGCATGTGTCCAGGCACAAGAGTACCAGCCCTTGGGGACAGGAATACTAGAGTTGTGGATATACACTGAAAAACTGGTCAAAGCTTTCTAGTCTGTCGTGGTGCAGAAAGAGCCTGTCGTCTCCCCTCGTAGCAGCACAGTGGGTCATGAGCTGACTGAGATGCGTGTGTGTAGAGTATGCTCAGTCTATGCATTTGAGGAAGGGCTTAGATTTGTGTGCACTAAAAATTTGGTGGATTAAAGAGTCACGATAGCGTGCAGTCATGCAGGGCGTAGTAAAATCCTGTCTGCCAGAAAGGCAGGCAGACAAGTGCTTAGGTTTTAGAGGCTCATCTCTCTCTTTTTCAAGAGATGCACAAAGGAACAGAATTAGAGCTAGACATTGTGACTTGTTTGCAAAAGATTTACCTCCAGGCTTTCTGTGTACTTCCTGTCATTTCATGGAGGTTTGTACGTGGAGAGCTCGGATGGACACGGCTTCTCATCCCCTGGATGGACAGTGACACGGATGGGGTTTGCCTTTTCTTTTTGCAGGCAGCAGCAGTCACCAGATGCTTTGGAATCGTCACAGTTGGAGGAGGAGGTAGATGAGCTATCCCTTATCGACCACAGTGAAATTATGTCTAGGTTAACGCTGAAGCAAGAGGTAGGTGCATTCAGGGTTTGCTTTCATGCTCTTTGGGTTATGCTGTATTGAAGTCTGATTCTCTGGGTGCACAAGCAGGGCGTCAGCTTTTATTTGCTAGGAAAAACTAGGTTGCAGCAGAAGTGGTACGCAGGTTTGGGTGTGCAGGCTGTTGTGAAAGTGTGAGAGGCTGGTACAGGCAGGGAGCATCAGCACTGAGCGGGGATTTAACAAAACGTGAGATGCCTCTCTGAAAAGCAGCTCGTCTTGTGCCCTTTTCCCGCTCTGCGCCTTCACACCTCTTCAGCCTGAGCTGCAATGAAACCCCTGAGAGCCTGAGCACAGAAGTCCAGGGGCAGGTTTATGGCACTGGCCTTTCAGTTGGAGGCAGGTTTAGCAGATTTCCTGAGCAGGACATTCTATTACGGATGTGGAAAAGCAGCCAAGAGTGACTGTCCCTGTACTGGAGAAATGGCATTGTGTCCAGCCTTGGTTGCCCTCCCAGACAGCTTTGCTGGCTCTGCTCTTGGACCGGGCTGTCTCTGACACGCAGCTCGAGGCAATATGCAGGCGTTTGAAGCTTTCAGACTGTCAGGGGACTCGTCTGAAAAGCAGAGAGAATATGTCATTTACTGGCACTTCAGGCGTGTTCTTGGGTCAGCCGAGATGCGCAGGAGAGAGTGAGAAGCTGTTACTCATTCTTTAAGTAGTGTTTGGTGAGTGGTGCCAGAGGATCACCTGAAGAATTCACGTCTTGGATGTGGCTGCTCCCTGGCTGTAACCCATGGTCTTTTCAGTGTTTTGCATATTGACATGACAAAGACATTGCTAAGGGAAGCCAGACACGACTCCAGTCTCCTATGCAGGAATATTTCCTTTAAAAACAAACCAACTAAAAATCAGTCATTTCTGAACATTTGGGCTTAGCATATCTGTGTCGACCCTTCACTTCTTTTTATTCTTTCTTTTCTTTACGGTCTAAGTGTTTGAAACGATGTAGAGCTGCCACTGCAAGCTGTTTCCTGCAGCATGGGAACCGCTGGCAGAGTGATGGATCAGTTTTGCATATTTTTAGTTGTGAATTGGACTAGCTAAAAGACAGATGTTTTTAGAGAGTGGTGAGGCAGGGGTCAAGCACTAAGCAGGGCTGTTTTCTGCTCCAGGTTACTGGATCGCTTCAGGTGACCTCCAGCCAAACAGCTCCAAATTAGGGCATTTACTTGCTAGGTTTTGATGTTTAGGGAACGTGCAAGTTGAATGCATGACCTCTCACCCCACAGCCGCTGTGGTACGTGATCCCGTGCTTTGAGACAGTTCACACAGTGTTACTGCTCTGTTAATGGTCTTTCGGGAGCATTTGGAAGTCTAGGACATTCCTGTTCATTCTTCTGTGGGCAGAAGGTTCAGCTTTCACTGAACTTCACATCCTGGCCTTAAGGAGTCAGAGACCCTGCGTGGGGATCAGCCCAGATCCTCATCTGGAACACCAGATGTTTTTTGTCACTGAAGGCCATTCTAGCCCATTCTTTTGGCACTGAAGGCCACATCCCAGCTTGCGCCCTGAGCAGTGCCAGGAACATTAGGTACTCTGCCAGCTGCTGCGGAGTTTGAACCCCAGAGGTGCTAAACCAGGCCTGAGGGAGCTTGGGCCATGCCTGACATGTTCCTGTTCTCTCTGCAGGGAGATGATGGGCCGGATGTTCGTGGTGGATCTGGAGACATTCTGTTAGTGCATGCAACAGAGACCGACAGGAAAGGTACAGTGGATGCACCAGAACAGTGCTGAGGAGTGCAGCCTGGCCTGGCCTCTTCCTCCTTGTCTCCTCTCCTCTGCAGCCTGGGCAGCGGGGATGGGCTGCACGCAGCTGGGCAGGGTGAAGAGGATCACAGTCCTCCGAGCTGGGGGGGTATGTGCTTATCTTTGGGGAAAGGGAGGTAAGATGGATAAGCGCCTGTTCGTTCCATTTAGCAGCAGGGATGGCATTAACTCCTCGTAGCCCTTGCCCATATGTGGAAGGCAAGGAGCAGCAGTGGAGTCAGTGTCAAGGGCTGCGTTGGGGTCTCCACGCCTGCCAAGGTAGGGCACTGCACACGCAGGTCCTGTTTTCCACGGCGCTCCTCGCCCTTCGAACTTCAGGGCAGTGGTGATGTAGGAGCTGCTGGGCTGCCAATTGCATCGAGGTGGGAGAGGAGGATGTAGCGCAGTACCCAGGGCATCAGGTGGGCTGTCCAGGTCTGCTGACACCCCTTAATTCAACTCAGGGTGTCATTCCTCATCCTGCTCTCTGGCGCTTGCGTGCTGGTAGCCACCCAGTCCAGTTCAGAGAGGGAATCCAGTGTACAAGAGACGAGACGTGGAGGAGGAAAAGGGATGCTGGCAAGCCTTAGCTGTAGATTTGTTAAAACCCTGCTTCATCCCTCCAAACCCAGTCCCCACCTACATGAAGCCGCTCCTTTCCAAGACCTGTGGCAGACAGCCCTTGCAGTGGTTCCGGAGAGTGATTCTGAACCTGTCCAATACATTTGTGCTGATGGCCTTAACCAGAATCGATCTCCCTATCTCCTGGGATGCAGGGCGAAGTGCACTCACCCGCTGAACC